ACGGAAGAAAACTTGGAATTATTGGACCATCCTCCATATAGTCCCGATCTAAGTCCTAACGATTTCTTTACTTTCCCGAAAATTAAAAACAGACTGCGTGGTCAAAGGTTATAGTACCAGAAGAAGCAGTTGGCGCATTCAAAATTGCCGTTTTGGATCTGCCAGCAAACGAGTGGAATAAGTGCTTCGAAAATTGGTTCGAGCGCATGCAGATGTGTATTAATCTTCGTGGAGAATACTTCGAAAAACAATAAAGTCAATTAAAACTACCTACCGTGTTGTTTTATTTCCATATGCAAAACTTAAAAGACATCCCGCGTAAATCGGCTACAAAACATCTACAAGACAGCCACAAAGCTGGAGGAGTGCAGATAGTGATTTTCCTCAATGCCTTCTCTCTAAAAGGAAGCAGATATTGAATAATAATGAAACTTCTTCCGGAAATGCATTAATGCATCTGGTCACATGGTATAAAAAAGATCTTACCCCTGAAGATGTTAATATCCCATATAAATGGAGAGAGTAAAACCCAAACTAAAAGAAACAACTAAACGTACGGCTTCAAAAATATTTTTTTCTGTTATCTCACCATATAGATCAGATAGCTCGTTTATTCAGCTTCAATATCCTGTTTCTAAAATCTCTGTACCATCATTTGGCGCGGAGATGTCTGACTTTGAATGAAAAAGGATTATTTTTTCATCGACCACTGATATCTCGGTAACTAGTGATAATATTAATAATAAAAGGCTTTTATTGCCGCACAAAAAAATACATGGAACTTGTACAAATTCTAGCTGATTTCCTGACAAACGGCAGAATTTAGATCTTACTACCGTATAGGACTTGTTCAACCGAAAAAAAAATACAATGATGCTTTACCTAGACAATATCGTGATATCTTACAAGCAAAAACATGCTCCAAAAATAGTTGAAGAAAAACAGTAAAAGGGTTCCAATTTTGTATGTTTCATATTATACAGTCATCAGCCAATTACCATTGTTTTTTAAATAAATTCATAGACAAACTCTTGTATGAAATCGGTACCTTATTATACAGCCGTGTGACATCGTAAGAAAAAGTACCTTTGAAAAACGATGTACAAGATCTAGGAGTAGAAATTAAACTTATGTATCGCAGGCTGAGGTTGTGGACGTCTGTTGTCTAACGAATTTTGTTATACAGAAAAGCAGGAGTTTGTTGTAGGCTGGAGTAGTGTTGAGAAACATAATGTCGCCTCCCAGCTCCCGTGATAAAACACACGCATGAATTTTGAATTTTTTGCCGTTTTTCTTCATCGCGTTTACGTAAATATCGCATAAACAGTGCAGTGATCGCACAGAGAATGTAAGGGTGTTGCCGAAAAATGGAATAAATGGCCTATAAGATTTAAGGAAACTTGTTTTTGTTTCTTTAGTATCGGTTTTTAGAGTCAAAAAGGTTACTTTTTGCCTTGTTTTGGAAAATCGACCGCATTTTTAAAGCTGCTAGTGAAAAGGGTAATGTTTTTAGGTTTTATACCTTAATCTACTTCTAATAACCCTGCATGACGGCATATCGATTCATTGTACGGTTCCTCCGGACCGATTGGTCAAAGATGATGCAAATTCAGTGGTGCCTGATCCTACTCATTTCGGTCGGACAGAACACTAAATATTTTTGGTTAGTATTTTTGTTTTTTGGAATATTCCATGAGTAAAAATAAAATTTTTCCAGTTGCTATTCTCAAAAGATTGAGGGTGTTACAGATATCCAATGAACAAAAATCATTTTTCCAATTTCATCCAGATTATACAGGGTGACAGGAAATTAGTGGCGGAGCCGGTAAGGGGTGATAGTATAGGGTAATTAGAGCCGATATTACTATGAGACCTACTATCCCACAGTAACCCATTCCAAGATATTCGTACTTGAAGAATTTTACCAAAAAGTTCTACTTAAAATTTTAAAATAGGTATACATCTTAAAAAAATGGCTTTTCGGCCAATTTTTTTTTTGGTTTTACAACAAAGATATTCTGAATAAGGAATACTAATAGTTTAATCCTGGTAATTGTCGTAATTTTCTGCGATAATTGCTAAATAAAAACTAAAATGAAAAAAAAAAAAAACACGGTGACGGCTTCTAAAACGTGGATTTACTCAAAAAAGTAACCTATAATTGTTACGTACAAAATAATTAAAAAACATCTACGTTTCGTTGCCTGTCGAATACGGTATTAAAATCTAAAATCGGTTCAGGGACCATCAAGATAGACGAATAATAAAAATGAAAGAAAAAAGCTGAATGCTGAAAAATCAATTTATTACCAAAAACATTCTTATTCATAATGCGTTTTCAAAATGCCCACCCCTATTTCTAATACAAATTCGTGCTCTTCTCAGGACACCCGTTTTCACAACCCTTGAATCTCGAAGCTCCGTTTGTATTTCCTGCGCTGCGTGAATGATTCTGTTGCGCAGGTCTTCAATATTAGTTACAGGGACATCAGTACCATACACGATACTTTTCATTCGACCCCACACGAAGAAGTCCATGGGTGTGATGTTGGGACTACGTGCCGGCCATGGTATTGGACCACCTCTACCTATCCAGCGGTTGGGGAAGTGTTCGTCAAGCCAATTTCTCACAGCTAGCCTGAAATGCGCTGGACAGCCATCATACATGAAGGTCATGTGTTGTCTTGTTTGTAGCGGCACGTCTTCCAACAATTCATGCAAAACATTCCTGAGAAAATCTTCATATGCTTCCCCATTAAGGTTTTGAGGCAGGAAATGAGGTCCAATCAAACGGTTATTGATTATTCCCATCCACACATTAAGGTTAAATCTTCTTTGTGAACCTTTTGGTCTTTTTAGGTGTGGATTACCCATGACACGTTCTCTCCAGTAGTGAACATTATGGTAATTGGTAATACCGTCCTTATCAAACTTGGACTCATCAGTCCATAAGATCGTTGTCAGATAATTCCTATCTTCAACATCCGCATTGATTAAAAATCTGCAAAACTGGATTCGTCTCAAAGGATACCCTTCTTCTATTACCTGAACAGGTGTGTAATGGTAAGGGTGGAGCCCACTTTCATGAAGAAGGTACCACACCTTCCATTGGGAGAGTCCCATAAGCCGAGCTACCATTCGTGTAGATAGAGTAGAGTCCCTTGCGAAGTAATTTAAAATTTCCTCTTCGTCTCCCGCGGCATACAGTCGAGGTCTACCTGCGTCACCTGAAAACAAAAAAGATTTGTTTTTATAAGTTTTAGTACAATGACTTTTGTTGATTTTTATGGTGCTAATTACGTAGCCGTTAATATTAGTCAAACTAAAAGCAATTATAGCATCAAAGACTCGCTGTCCGCGTGGTAATAAAATGTGGAAACAGGACGCCCTCTGTTGGGTTGTCTGTCGCACTTACGGGCCTTACGGCAGGTAGTGAGGCACCACTGACGTATCGGTGTTTATCTTATGAAAAAAGCTAGCCTATCGAGCCCTGGCATACCGATAATTTATGGGTTTAACTTTAGTAAGTTGTATGGACAGCGACATTTGTTTTGCAATCCCACAATTAAAAGGGTACGTGCAAGGATAACAAAAAACTGATAGGAAAGGTTTAGTTTTATTTAGTTTGAAATGGATTTGATAAAGAATTTTGTGTAAACAAAATAATAATAATAATGGCTGTTCCTTACCTTGGTATCTTTGGACGGTTCCTCGCTCTCGCACTCGACGGAATGTTCGGGAGAATACGCGTGCATCAGGCAATCGACGATAAGGGAATATTTCGGCATATTCTCGACGAGCTTGTTCTGCGTTTCCTCTGGCAGCTCCGTAATAAAAAATAATATCGGCGTATTCGTCGATACTGAACGATCGTCTTCTTTCTCTAACAGCCATTATTAGTCAGCTAGTCCACACTCAGTCACTCAGCAGCCAAATCGTAAGGAAAAATCAAAGTCGTGAAAATATCAAATCTGAGAGCAAGCGAGCACATCCGAACACAGTAAACCGTAAGAGCGGACTGAAAGGAGGAAGGGATTAGCTCGACTGCCCAACGACCGCGTCCTTTTTTGTTCTCGGATAGGCTCTATGGGTTTTTCCATTGATCATATCTTCATCGTTTCTAAACCGATTTTGGATTTTAATAGCTCATTCGAAAGGCAACGAAACGTAGATGTTTTTTCATTATTTTGTACGTAAAAATTATAGGTGACTTTTTTGAGTAAATCCACGTTTTAGCAGCCGTCACCGTGTTTTTTTTTCATTTTAGTTTTTATTTAGCAATTATCGCAGAAAATTACGACAATTACCAGGATTAAACTATTAGTATTCCTTATTCAGAATATCTTTGTTGTAAAACAAAAAAAAATGGCCGAAAAGCCATTTTTTAAGATGTATACCTATTTTAAAATTTTAAGTAGAACTTTTTGGTAAAATTCTTCAAGTACGAATATCTTGGAATGGGTTTCTGTGGGATAGTAGGTCTCATAGTAATATCGGCTCTAATTACCCTATACTATCACCCCTTACCGGCTCCGCCACTAATTTCCTGTCACCCTGTATAGGCTTTGATACAAAAATTTCGCTCCTTTGATTTTGTTCAAAATATTTGCTTTACCGTTCTCCGCAAAAAGCGTGAAGTGTCAATCTATTTCAATCTCCCATAACCATGACTGCCGATTTCTAATGTTTTTTTCTCAATTTCAGGTCCAGTGTACGAGATCATCATGAAATGTGACGCAATAGAGAAGAAAGGCAGCAAATTCATGATCTTCCACACGGTACACGACGCAGTCTTATACGCAAAAGCAAATATTTTTAGTAATAAGAAAAACGGATAGATGAATATACGCTCTCTCTTTAATAATAATCATCCATGATTTGGTAATAATAATAGTGCAATTTAGCTTGATATGGGTAAATTTTTTAGAACCAAACAATTGAATAAAAATGAAGAATACAAGGTTGCAACGATGAATATAAATAAATATGACAATGTTTCACTTAGTTTGTACTTAAAAATCGATTTTTACAATATTTTTCACTTAATTTTCACAAGTGGTTAGTATATAGTCTATTAAAAAGATATAGAAAAAACAATACTAATTTTATGTGCAATTGCAAAATATCGTTGAGTTTGCTAAAGTTTTGTACAATAAGAATATATTTTGTGAAGTTATTTTTGCAGTTTAATTTCACCTTTTTCTTCTATGTTAGGGTAGCTTAAGGTAGGTTTGTTAAAACATCTCTCCTAGAGGCCTGATTGTCAACTCAGTCACCTGAAAAAAAAAATTATAAATATACTAAGTGACATATAAATCCGAACACCCAGTTTAAATGGTTTTATTTTAATAAAAGTTGGTGAATGTATTTATCTTACTGTAAATAACAAGTGAAAAAATTTTCAGCCTTATCAGTTGGACATTCCGGTGTTTATACTGCTTTTTTTTAATTCACTAACGCTCTAAAAATGAATATTTCAGCCGCAGTAAAGAATCAACGTTGGCGGATTTTGGTTCTTGACATCCTTTACGATCGGTTACGATGCCTAGAGTCCGGAGACCTGTACGATTTCGTCAACTTAGTGAGTTTGATAGGGGCCGTATAGTGGGACTTCGGGAAGCTGGACTTTCTTTTCGGGCAAATGCAGTTAGAGTGCAAAGAAGTGTAGACACTGTGGTTAGGTGTTGTCAGGCATGGCTTCGAGAAGGCCGTAAGCAAAGAGCAAGGGGTACTGGACGCCGCCGTAGAACAACAGACCGTGAAGATCGCCGCCTAAGATTATTGGCCTTAAGGGACCGTTTCTCCACTACCAGGTCCATTGCAAATGAATGGTTTGCAGAACACTGAAGACCTATTGGCATGCGAAGTGTTTTCCGACGAATGAGAAGTTTTGGCTTGTTTTGATACCGGCCACACTGGGTCCTCCCTTTAACTCGAGAACACCGACGTAATCGCCTTGAGTGGTGCAGACAACGGTCACTCTGGGATCAGGAATGGAACAGTATTGTCTTTAGTGACGAGTTTTGATTTTGTTTAGGCATGCACGATGGTCGTGCCAGGGTTAGAAGGCGACGTGGTGAAAGGAGGAATCCACAGTTTTTTGTTGAAAGACATGTTCATCACACTGTTGGAGTTATGGTTTGGGGTGCTATAGCTTATGGTTCCAGGTCACCTTTAATCTTCATCAGAGGTAACATGAACGCGCAGCGTTATATCCACGAAGTTCTAGAACCCCATCTTTTACCCTATCTTGACACCCTGGCAGATCCAACTTTCCAACAAGATAATGCCCGACCACATGTTGCAAGAGTCACAATAGACTTCTTTCAACATAATGATGTCACATTGTTACCATGGCCACCAAGATCTCCCGACTTATCCCCAATTGAGCACGTGTGGGATATGATGGGTAGGAGATTGCTCAATTTGCAACGTCCTCCTCAGACTCTAGAAGCACTTCGAGAGGAGTTGGTGGTTGCCTGGAATGAGATACCACAGGAGGACATTGACCACCTGATCAGAAGCATGCCTAGGCGCGTTGGAGAATGCGTAGCACATCAGGGTGCATCCACACATTATTAAAGATCAAAGGGCTTTAAAGCAGTGCCATCATTTTGAAATTTTTATCATTTACTTATTATGCTTCATTAAGTACTTATACAAAATTTTATTAAAATAAAACCATTTAAACTGGGTGTTCGGATTTATATGTCACTTAGTATACATGGATTTTAAAAATTTTTCAAATCTACCGGCTAAGTGCAAAATAAGTTTTATATCAGGTATCTTCAATGAATGTCCATACCACTAATCGTATCTAAATGGGTACAGTCACGCAACGCCATTAAAAAATGTATTTCTATTACGTCGATTTCAAAAATATCAAAAGTCGGTCAAAATAGTGCTATTCCAATTTTTATTCCAAGTATAAACTTACATCGACATTGGGACCAGTGGATAAAGCATACAAGACTGCTTGGGCAATGTCGTCTGGTACTAATTTTGGCACGGATTTTAGAGCTTCTCTGGTACCATCTTCTGGAAAGCCGTTTTCAAATTCCGTACTTACAATTCCGGGGCTTATACTCTGAAAATGGGATTCAAAATATAGAAAAGGTAATTTGGTTATAGAACTTGATTTAAAAAAAAATGACAATGATTCCAGTGCCAAATATGTAACCCTTAAAGTAACATATAAAGTTCATGTAAACATAGGTCCTTAAATGTTTTCGTGAAATCACCATGTGATTCCTGACGTTCAATTCGGTTTTCGGTCCGAGCATAGCACCGAGCTACAGGCAGTCAGGCTAGTGGAACACGTAATCAGAGGGTTCACCCTTAGCATGAGTACTGGCATCTTGCTTTTGGATGTCTCAAAAGCCTTTGACAAGGTGTGGCAGGCGGGCCTCCTCTATAAACTAATCCAAAAGAGTGTTTCCTTGTTGCCTTCCGAAATTACTGGAATCTTTTCTTGAAAGAAGGGAGTTCGGATCAAAATTAACACTGTTTTGTTAACAACACGGCCAGTACGGGCTGGTGTTCCTCAGGGCTCGGTCCTAGGACCAATCTTTTATTCGCTTTCTATCCATGATGTCCCTTGCCCCAGCAACTGTGAATTCTACCTCTATGCTGACGACACTGCACTTGTCTCCCACTGTTGTACTGGTGATCTGGTCAGCGCAGTAGCTAGCATGGGGCAGGCGGGGCGGTGCCCCAGGGCCCCCGACGAAAAGGGGCCCCTTTTCGTCGGGGGCCTTTTTTCGTCAGGGGTCTTTTTTTCGTCGGGGGACTTTTTTTGGCCCTTAAAGAATCTTACCTCGGCGATGACTTCAGGGGCCCCTGAAAATACTTCAAATTGAACAATTATTTTTTTAACAAAGTGAAACAATTGAAAAAAATTTTTTTCGTAGTTTTATTAGATTGTTTACAAAATAACAATTTGTCGATTGAGTACAACAAATTTTATTACTTCGATTAATAAATAGTATTAAAAATGCCGCTTTCTTGATTTACATGCCGCAAATTTATCGATAGTTTCGCTAAAATCGATCTTTCTCGCTCGCTCATTCTCAATTGATTATAATGCCAATCCATATAGTCGTTCTTGCCCCATAGAGCTTCGCAAATAATTTTTTATTAATTTGAATTTTGAAAAAGATCTCTCTACCGTTGCAAGTGTCAAGAACATAATACACGCATAATACATCAGAGTAACTTGACGTCAAGGAACTGTTTTCAATAATAATCATTTCGGCAAGTTGTTTCACACTATCAATCTGCCTTATTTTTTTTTCGAAACGCTGATCGCAGAGACAGTAATTAATAATAATAATAATAATAATAATAATTTTTATTGGAATGTTTATACATAAAAATATAAAAACGACAACATTCCAAAAGGAAAGAGGATTGGCAGGGCCATTTTTCACCTCCCCCTAAAAAGTTAATTTCATGAGCGTTTTTTAACATCAACAGAATTATTAGTGTTCACAACAAATATTATGCACAACACAGTATATAATACGATATAGTCTGAGTGTTAATGGAGGGTAGTGTAGCAAGCGCCATAAATTTAATTTGTGGATTCAAATCTTTGCAGCTGTAGTAGCACTTTTTTCATCTCATTTCTGAAGTTTTGGATGGAAGGTGCTTCAAAAAGTTCTAAATGACCGTTTAGTAAATATGGTGCCGTGTAAGTAAAACATTTTTTTGAATGTAGAAGTTGTATGAACTGGAATATTGAAGTATTCATTGTTGCGTAAGGAAACTTGGCGGAGTGAACATCTCTTCGCCAAAGCAATAAACAGATATCTGGGTAATTTATATTTTAAACCTTTATATAGTAGAGTTCCATACTGAAGTAATACACGATACTTGAAATTTAAAAGATTTTCTCTCACATAATATCCAGTAATATGTTCTTGTATATGTATATCTTTGAAACAGAATCTCATGCAGCAGTTTTGTAATACTTGAATTTTGTGCTTCGTTTCTTCCGTCAGAAAATTATAATATACTGTAGCGCCATAGTCTAGGTGAGTGAGGATTAGTGCATTGGTAAGCCTTAATTTTATATCGCTGGTTAAAACATGTTTGTATCTCCAAAGTGTCTTGTATTTACAATAGCATACTCGAAGTTTATTAATGACATGGTTCTCAAAACTTAAATTTGTGTCCAACAAAATGCCTAAATTCTTAGTCTCGTCTACAATTTCAACAGATGTATCACCGAAAACAATGGCTGTACTCATCAATCCTTTAAATTTTGAAATATTTAACATAGAAACAATGAAGCAAGCTTTAGTTTTTGTGGGATTCAGTTTCAAACAATAATTTTTGGAATAGTTTGCAATCATTTCTAGATTTACATTTAACTCTTTAATCAATAAATTAACTTCATTTGGCTTGCAAGCTTTATACATTTGTACATCATCAGCACATAGATGTATATTCCAATCATGTGATATAAAATTTAATAAATCAGATTTATAGAATGTAAATAGTAATGGACCTAATACACTTCCTTGCGGAACCGCTTCTTCCTCATTACTGTGCAATTTACTTTGTCAAAAGCAGAATGATCAATCTTTAAATTCAACTTAAATTTATTATTAAGTTCCAAGAAATTTGGGCAAGATATATTTGATTTCGTGCATATATCTGCTTTATGTCCTCTCTCACCGCATTTTAAACAGAACATCCCTCCGGTACATTTATTAGCAGTGTGGTTGAAGCCGCTGCAATTGTAGCATCTTAACAAATTAATGTGTTCATATACTGAGCATATTGTTAAATTAGTACATAATATTCCGTTTTCCATGATACTATGAAAGGTTTTGGGGTCACATTCTATAATGGCAAAATATCGTGTTTTCATTTGCTTTGTTTTAACTACATTTATATATGCATCCCTGTCAATAAACATGTTCTCTTGTTTTATAATGTTAACAAGTTCTGTATTTTGAACCATCTGTTCTATACCTACTATCTTAATCTTAGGTTTTTGTTGACTACTTACGATGTTCACACTGTACGAGCTGCTCAGTTGTTTATTGATTACCTCATTTATTTTCTGAACACCACCTTTCAGAATATCTTTTTTTGTTTGCATGACTTCTACTTCTTTTGGTTTTATAATAATGCTGTTAGTACTTGTATTTCCCTTTTTTCACCACTGAACTATATGACGGTTTCAAAGCTTATGTACTGTTGATACAAATATCTTGATCGGTATTTTCTTCTATCTTACCTTTGGTTCTGCAACTGATTGTTGCAATTTTTTCATACAGTAAAGGAAATTTTTTCGTATAGCTCCTTTATTATTATGTCTTTTGCCAGAATTATTTCATCTTTGGATAGGATGATCTGTTCTTTTGCTTTTATTATGTCATTTAATAATACCGCCTCCTTATTACTGTTACATTGTATTGCTTTTCCTTCTTTTTCCTTTTCTTCCTCTCCTTCTGAATGATTTTGATTTTTATTTTTCTTTTTTACACCTTGACTCATATCAAATGCGGTACTGTTTTTTCTTCTATAATGTTCTTTTTCTTGCCTTCAGCCTAGTTATATCCTACTGCTTTGTTCTTAGCAGCCTGCGGATACTAACTCGTGCGACTTTTACAATTTCTGACACATCTTTGGTTGAATAATCTTGTAGACTTCTAGAACCAATTCCATACCTTCGAAACGATACTTTAATTGGAAAGAAGTCGTGTCCACTAAAGGGTAAAAAACAGTCACTGCGAAATTTTCCTTCGTCTACACATAATTCATCGAAATGCTTTTTTTCTGAAAATTGCTTCCTTTACAAATTCATCGAACTATTGTCGCATGGAAGAAACTTCGATATGTGCAGTTTCTAATAACTCATCTGCTGTCATCAAATCTGTCGTTTCTGTTTGAAGAGCTTTTGCCACAACATTAATTTTTTCGAAAACTTTGCACAATATAACTAAACAGCAAACGAAGTTGAAAGATACAACACGTTTTTGAAGTCCCAACACTTCGTTTCTTTCGCTAGACTTTTTACTGGTTAAAACAATACGCGATAAATTTTTACTGATATCAGGCAATCTTTTTTTAAGCGCGTAAATCGAGTCATGAGTGCCTGAAAAACGTGTTGGATTTAATGTTTTTAAGGTTGTTTTGGAAATATTTTGTTCTTCTGAAGATGTTTGCAAATCTTGCCAATGTACAATACTCTGGCCGGTAAAAAATTGTAAATATCTTGTACAATATCTAAGAAACGTGCGATTTCTGAGTTTTCTCGAACAGCAACTTTCAACGCAAGATTTAAATTGTGGGCGGCGCAATGAACAAACAAAACATGAGGTGCTACTTCAATGATTTTTTTTGAACGCCTCCCAAACGTCCCCACTCATAACGGCTGCGCCATCGTAGCCTTGTCCAAACAATTTCTGAATATTTAAACCTTTCTGCCGTTTTACACACAAGAGAATTACTCCGAAAATTATGGTCATAATTATGCCAAAAATTTTTGCTGTCGTATTACACGTAAAAGAAATTTTCATGGTAAAAATATAAAACCCGTTCTATATTATATGCGCGAGAATCGGCGCAGAGGGTTATTTCCGTGCATGTCAATATCAAGTGTCAACGACAACAACAACAACATAACCTCACTTAACATTTGTGGGAGTGGTCCTGTTCGAGTCGTACGAAGGAGCGTTTATTGTTATTGTTTATTCATAATGTCGTGGAATCGGGAAGAATTTACAATGTTGTTGGAGGAGTACCAAAAATGGCCAAACCTGTACAAGGTGAAGTCACCCAATTACAAAAACAGAAATTTGCGGCGTCAGGCGCTGGATGCGATAGTCCAAGCATTGAGAAGTTTTATAATATTAACCAAGATCTCGATTTCAAAAATAAATTTAAATTATCAACGTCTGTTGTCTTTCCGATTATATTGGACGTCATACCCGTTAAGGTTATGTCCATTTGAAAATATAACTCTAATGCGCAGGCGTATCATATGAATTACTCTGAAATTTTGTTTGCTTGTGTCATACAGGTTGTAGAGAAAATCTTCATATGTTTTCCATGCAAATTTTCGGCATAATTATGACCATAATTTTCGGAGTAATTCTCTTGTGTGTAAAACGGCTCTAAGAGGAGATATTTATATTTCGTGCCAATTCGTGAGGAGATGCTGCGTGAAAAGAATTCTCACTGCACAATTTTGAATTGGATAGGGAAAGGGAAATTGGTTTTATACGTCTCTCTGGATAGAACGACTATCCATTACTTTTCAGTGACAAAGGATAATATATGCAGTGTGCTTTAGATGCGGGTATCAAACACGATAAAACGTGATTTTGCAGAAATAATAGAGTTCTGCGTTGCCAGTATGAATAATGGTACGGATACAATAACCATATCAGTTGCGTGTTACTTCTGTCCTTTGAGTTCATGATTCTTTATAATTTATTGAATGATAGATTCTCATTTTTATTTTCTGAACACCACCTTTCAGAATATCTTTTTTTGTTTGCATGACTTCTACTTCTTTTGGTTTTATAATAATGCTGTTAGTACTAGTATTTCCCTTTTTTCACCACTGAACTATATGACGGTTTCAAAGCTTATGTACTGTTGATACAAATATCTTGATCGGTATTTTCTTCTATCTTACCTTTGGTTCTGCAACTGATTGTTGCAATTTTTTCATACAGTAAAGGAAATTTTTTCGTATAGCTCCTTTATTATTATGTCTTTTGCCAGAATTATTTCATCTTTGGATAGGATGATCTGTTCTTTTGCTTTTATTATGTCATTTAATAATACCGCCTCCTTATTACTGTTACATTGTATTGCTTTTCCTTCTTTTTCCTTTTCTTCCTCTCCTTCTGAATGATTTTGATTTTTATTTTTCTTTTTTACACCTTGACTCATATCAAATGCGGTACTGTTTTTTCTTCTATAATGTTCTTTTTCTTGCCTTCAGCCTAGTTATATCCTACTGCTTTGTTCTTAGCAGCCTGCGGATACTAACTCGTGCGACTTTTACAATTTCTGACACATCTTTGGTTGAATAATCTTGTAGACTTCTAGAACCAATTCCATACCTTCGAAACGATACTTTAATTGGAAAGAAGTCGTGTCCACTAAAGGGTAAAAAACAGTCACTGCGAAATTTTCCTTCGTCTACACATAATTCATCGAAATGCTTTTTTTCTGAAAATTGCTTCCTTTACAAATTCATCGAACTATTGTCGCATGGAAGAAACTTCGATATGTGCAGTTTCTAATAACTCATCTGCTGTCATCAAATCTGTCGTTTCTGTTTGAAGAGCTTTTGCCACAACATTAATTTTTTCGAAAACTTTGCACAATATAACTAAACAGCAAACGAAGTTGAAAGATACAACACGTTTTTGAAGTCCCAACACTTCGTTTCTTTCGCTAGACTTTTTACTGGTTAAAACAATACGCGATAAATTTTTACTGATATCAGGCAATCTTTTTTTAAGCGCGTAAATCGAGTCATGAGTGCCTGAAAAACGTGTTGGATTTAATGTTTTTAAGGTTGTTTTGGAAATATTTTGTTCTTCTGAAGATGTTTGCAAATCTTGCCAATGTACAATACTCTGGCCGGTAAAAAATTGTAAATATCTTGTACAATATCTAAGAAACGTGCGATTTCTGAGTTTTCTCGAACAGCAACTTTCAACGCAAGATTTAAATTGTGGGCGGCGCAATGAACAAACAAAACATGAGGTGCTACTTCAATGATTTTTTTTGAACGCCTCCCAAACGTCCCCACTCATAACGGCTGCGCCATCGTAGCCTTGTCCAAACAATTTCTGAATATTTAAACCTTTCTGCCGTTTTACACACAAGAGAATTACTCCGAAAATTATGGTCATAATTATGCCAAAAATTTTTGCTGTCGTATTACACGTAAAAGAAATTTTCATGGTAAAAATATAAAACCCGTTCTATATTATATGCGCGAGAATCGGCGCAGAGGGTTATTTCCGTGCATGTCAATATCAAGTGTCAACGACAACAACAACAACATAACCTCACTTAACATTTGTGGGAGTGGTCCTGTTCGAGTCGTACGAAGGAGCGTTTATTGTTATTGTTTATTCATAATGTCGTGGAATCGGGAAGAATTTACAATGTTGTTGGAGGAGTACCAAAAATGGCCAAACCTGTACAAGGTGAAGTCACCCAATTACAAAAACAGAAATTTGCGGCGTCAGGCGCTGGATGCGATAGTCCAAGCATTGAGAAGTTTTATAATATTAACCAAGATCTCGATTTCAAAAATAAATTTAAATTATCAACGTCTGTTGTCTTTCCGATTATATTGGACGTCATACCCGTTAAGGTTATGTCCATTTGAAAATATAACTCTAATGCGCAGGCGTATCATATGAATTACTCTGAAATTTTGTTTGCTTGTGTCATACAGGTTGTAGAGAAAATCTTCATATGTTTTCCATGCAAATTTTCGGCATAATTATGACCATAATTTTCGGAGTAATTCTCTTGTGTGTAAAACGGCTCTAAGAGGAGATATTTATATTTCGTGCCAATTCGTGAGGAGATGCTGCGTGAAAAGAATTCTCACTGCACAATTTTGAATTGGATAGGGAAAGGGAAATTGGTTTTATACGTCTCTCTGGATAGAACGACTATCCATTACTTTTCAGTGACAAAGGATAATATATGCAGTGTGCTTTAGATGCGGGTATCAAACACGATAAAACGTGATTTTGCAGAAATAACAGAGTTCTGCGTTGCCAGTATGAATAATGGTACGGATACAATAACCATATCAGTTGCGTGTTACTTCTGTCCTTTGAGTTCATGATTCTTTATAATTTATTGAATGATAGATTCTCATGTTTTACATCCACGGAATTGGTGAGGAAGTATTGTAATCCAAAAAATTTCGAAAATAAGATACTATGTTTTTGGATGTTATATGACATGCACATTATGAAAAGCCCTGTCACTCATTCCGTCGATCTACCTGCCGATCTGTCTGTCGGACTGTCCGCTAATCCTTGGTCCGTCTATAACTTGGAAATTACTGCTCGGAACTTGATGCAGTTCCCACACATGGTTACTACTGCGCCAAGGACGGAATAGCATTAGAGTTTTTGAAAGTTGATCTAGTGGCGGCGGAACTATATGCGAAAAAAGAAGGAAATGAGGTTGTGGGAGTAGGAGAATAATGGGCAAAATCCGCAAAAAGGGAAAAAGTGGATTCGAGCAGAAAATAGGATAGGTAATACGTATTTCTGCTGGTTGGCTTCATCAGACCCGAAATGAATACACATATGAAACTACAAAAGTAGATACACATGCCCACACATCCGGATACGGGTATAACCTGAGGAAACGAAGACGGAGAGGGAAAAACACGACACACGAAGTCCACAACAAGAGCCAACCTACACATTGTAGTATAAAATGCAAGCACGCGGCCGGTTATAGCCACTTTCGCTTGAATAAAAAAAACACGTTTTCTCATTCTTTGTTGTCGAATAAAAAGTTTTCCCACAAAAATTGGTGTATCCATTTTATACATCCATGTTTTGGATACCCCCCTTGAATAATTTCCAGCAATAAAACCAGACTTTACAATTATTGCTAAGGTTATTTAACCCTTTCAAGCTTTGTGGTGTCATCATGAAACCACCTTTTTAATAATTTATCACGGCGCTGCGGAGTGGTTATCTGCCGATACCACCGTGTAAGAAGTAGCACTATATTGCCAACTAGCATGAAAAAATTTATTTACATAGGACGCCATTCCTAACAGCTTGTTATTTGACATTTATCGATTTGTTTTCGCCGTGTGCAGGTCAATGGTGTGCGTGGTCATAAATTGAGTGTTTATTTCAAAAAATAAGGACAGAATGGCGGGTAAGTACTATATTTTATTGTATTAGGTATTGTTTTATGTTATTATCATAGATAGGCACACGCGATTTTATATATTTTTATTGGTTGCTTTGAATAAAAT